CCTTCCCTCCCCCCCCCACCGGACTTCCTGGTGCCAGTTCCCCCCCCGGTAGACCCCCTCCCCCCTCAGGTTCCTGCCCCTTCAGGTGTGTCCCAGGTAGACACAATCGAGCCAGTCAAGGTTGCTGCTGAGTCTGGTCCTGCTGCGGGTGCAGAGTCTGGGGGTGCTACGCCTGCGGGTGCTGAGCTTGGGGGTGCTGCTGCTGGGGGTGCTGAGCCTGGGGGTGCGAGGCCGGGGGGTGCTGAGCTTGGGGGTGCTGCTGCTGGGGGTGCTGAGCCGGGGGGTGCTACGTCAGGAGCTGCTTAGCCTTGGGGTGCTGAGCCTGCGACTGCTGGACCTGGGGGCTCTCCGGTTGCTCCGTCTCAGCGGGAGCCGCTCTCTCCACAGGAGCTGCGCGAGTGGTTTGCTCGCCGCTGGAGGCGTGCTGCTGGAGCTGGAGCTCCTTCGACTGCTGAGGGTGCTGGTGCTGCCGGTCCCGGAGCTGCTGGGCCTGTGGGTCCTACTAGAGCTGGAGCTGCTGAGCCTGGGGGTGCTGAGTCTGGAGCTGCTGAGCCTTGGGGTGCTGAGTCTGGAGCTGCTGAGCCTGGGGGTGCTACGTCTGGAGCAGCTGAGCCTGGGGTTTCTCCTGGTGCTGCGTCTCGGCGGGAGCCCCTCTCTCCACAGGAGCTGCGCGAGTGGTTTGCTCGCCGCTGGAGGCGTATTGCTGGAGCTGGAGCTTCTTCGACCGTCGAGGGTGCTGGTGCCGCCAGTCCCGGAGGTGCTACGCCTGCGGGTCCTACTGGAGCTGAGGCTTCTGAGGGCGTTGGTGCTGAGTCTGCTGCTGTCTGTCCTGACGGTGGTTCTGCTGCTGGTAGTGCTGGAGGTACTGCCGCTGGAGGTGTTGGTGGCGCTGGTGCTGCCGCTGAGGGTGCTGGTGCTGTCCCTGCTGAGTCTGGAGCTGCCGCGCGGCCTCGGCCGTACTTCGTTCCGCTTCTGCAGTAGGTTCTTGGTCTTTCTCCTCCGATAGAGTGTCCACAGCCTGTCCAGTCGCAGTCACTGTTGGAGCCTACCTCCCCACTGCCTGCTCCCTCTCCTTACACAGGTCCTACTGGAGGTCTTGCTGAGCGTCGTGAGGCTGCATCTCGTCCCGCGTCGCCTGTTCGTGCTGCCCGCGCTAGTGGTCGTGGTTCGCGTCCGCGTCCTCCTCCTGTCCCTGGCACGCACCGGATGTCTCTGCGTCCGTCCACTGCTCCTCTGCGTGCCCTTTTGCCTTCTCCTCCTGAGTCCTCCCTTCCTGTGCTTACCGACCCTGAGTCGGACTCCCTTCGTGCTGCCAGTCCTACTGTCACGCGTCTGCTTGCTACTGTCGTCACTGACCCCTCTTTTGAGTCCGCTGCTGCGTCTGCTCTTGTCGCTGAGCTCGTCGACTTTGCTGCTCGCTGTCGTCTAGACTACGCTGCTAGTCTTGTTGCTGAGTCTGCGTCTGACTGTCCTCCGTCCGTCGGGGGTGAGTGTGCTCTTGGCACGGACGTCCTAGAGGACAGGCAGGAGGAGTTCCAGTGTCTGGCTGCTGCTTCACCTCATCTCGCGTCTGTACTGCTTGCTCCTGAGGGAGACCCGGATGCACTAGACATCCCGACTCCGCGCTCTTACGCGGAGGCCGTAGAGGGTCCCTACTCCTCTCAGTGGCAGGCAGCTATGGATGCAGAGATGGCTTCCTGGAAGTCCACAGGCACCTACGTTGACGCGGTTCCCCCTCCTAGGGCGAACATCGTCAGTGGCATGTGGATCTTCAGGGTGAAGCGGTCGCCGGGCTCTCCACCTGTCTTCAAGGCGCGGTACGTCGCTCGTGGCTTCAGTCAGCGGCAGGGAGTTGACTACTTTCAGACCTTCTCTCCCACCCCGAAGATGACCACTCTTTGGGTGCTGCTGCACATAGCCGCTCAGCGCGACTACGAGCTTCACTCACTCGACTTCAGTACTGCGTTCTTGCAGGGGAGCCTGCACGAGGAGATCTGGCTGCGCCGTCCACCTGGCTTCACTGGGACTTTCCCTCCTGGCACCCAGTGGAGCCTCCGACGGCCAGTCTACGGTCTCCGCCAGGCACCACGTGAGTGGCACGACACACTGAGGACTACGCTTGCGGCCCTTGGGTTTGCTCCTTCTACTGCTGACCCGTCGCTGTTTCTACGCACTGACACTTCACTGCCGCCGTTCTACATCCTCGTGTACGTCGACGACTTGGTCTTTGCCATAGCGGACACTGCTGGACTCGCCTACGTGAAGTCCGAGCTGCTGAAGAGACACACGTGCACAGACCTGGGTGAACTGCGCAGCTACCTTGGCTTGCAGATCACTCGGGACAGAGCACGCCGCACCATTACCTTGACTCAGTCACACATGGTGCAGCAGGTCCTTCAGCGCTTCGGCTTCACGTACTCCTCGCCTCAGGCCACTCCTCTGTCTACTCGTCACTCGCTCTCAGCTCTGCCTTCGGATGAGTCCGTAGAGTCGAGTGGCCCGTACCCAGAGCTTGTTGGCTGCCTCATGTACCTGATGACCTGCACACGACCTGACCTTGCATACCCTCTTAGCATTCTTGCACGCTATGTTGCTCCTGGGACACACCGACCAGAGCACATGGCTGCAGCGAAGACGGTATTGCGCTACCTGTGCAGTACGTCGGGCATGGGGCTAGTGCTTGGAGGGCGGAGTCCAGTGGTACTTACAGGTCACGCGGACGCTTCTTGGGCTGACGACCAGGCTACGCAGCGGTCGTCACAGGGTTACACCTTCAGCCTTGGCTCCGGCTCTGTCTCGTGGCGGGCTACTCGCTCGTCTTCGGTTCTCAGCTCGAGTTGTGAGGCTGAGATCTACGCAGGGGCCATGGCTGCACAGGAGCTTCGCTGGCTCACCTACCTGCTGACTGACCTTGGAGAGCCGCCTCGTTCTCCTCCAGTGCTGTACGTAGACAACAAGGCCATGCTGGCCTTGTGTCGAGAGCAGCGTCTGGAGCACAGAACGAAGCACATTGCTCTTTGCTACTTCCATGCTCGTGAGCTACAGCAGCGTGGACAGTTGCGGCTTGCGTACGTGGCCTCTGAGGCCAACACTGCTGATGTGTTCACCAAGGCACTCGCGCCTTGTGACCATCAGCGCTTCTGCACCCAGCTGGGTCTTGTGCCTGTCTTGCCTCACTTGCTCTCCTCTTGACTTTACTTGTACTGTCACATATATATACCTGCTCTTGCTTGTCTAGCTTTATATATATATGTGTGTACTCCTGCATGTGAACTGGCCTTGTGGCCTTGCTCTTGTGCTCGGACTGTGTGGTGACTTTGTGATCCACCCTGAGCTTTGCTTTGCTTTGCTTGACTGGTCTTGTGACCCCTTGTTCTCCCCCACTTTGCCTATGGGGGTGTGTCAGAACATATATGTAGCTTATGCTGTTGTGTAGGCTACAGTGGGGTATCCCATAGGGGGTACAACCCAATTAGGGTTTTGCTATTTGTACTCACTTCACTCATAGTTCATTCATTCAACCTCACATGTTACTACACCCCCTCGTTCTCCTGGAACCTGGTGGGTGTCAGTCACCTCCACGACTTAGGTGTAGTCATTACTTTCCCAGTCGACGAGCCTGTTGCCTCCTGCACAGTCGGTACCACTGGAGCCCCTTCGGCCACTTTTCACAGAGAGCCGGGCTCTGGTCTGTACTCACTACACACTAGGTCCCACCACACTTGGTCAGGTCAGGTCAGGTCAGGTCAGGTCAGGTAGCTGCTGTGTCGTGTGACTGTCGGTCCCTCACCCACCTGTCGGTTCTCTGGCACCACCGTCTAGGTCACCCGTCGTTTCCGCGTCTCAGTAGGATGGCACGCTACCGTCTGGTCTCAAGTCTACCAGAGTCGCTTGCACCGCTTCTCCGCTCGCCTGCGCCGCTCTGCACTCCTTGCGTCGAGGGGCGGCAGCGCGCTGCCCCTCACTCCTCCTCGTTCCCCCCCACCACGGCTCCCTTCCAGACCCTGCACTTGGACGTTTGGGGCCCCTCCCTGGTCCTTGGGCCACGTCAGGAGCGCTACTTCCTGATTGTGGTGGACGACTACTCCCGCTACACCACGGTTTTCCCCTTGCGACGGAAGGCCGACGTGCCTACCGTCCTCGAGCCGTGGCTACTAGCCTGGGGTGGCGCCCAGGGCCTGTGTGGGCTTCGCCTACACTCGGATCGTGGTGGTGAGTTTTCTTCCACTCGCCTGGAGACGTTCTGTCAGGGTCGGGGGATCATCCAGTCTTACACGCTACCAGCCTCACCGCAGCAGAACGGGGCAGCCGAGCGACGCATCGGCCTGGTCATGGAGGTTGCCCGGACCTCCATGTGCCATGCCGGTGCCCCCCAGTTCTTGTGGCCGCGCAGTGACGCATAGCCACGGGTGACGCTGGTCTCCCTTTGGATAAGTTCTCCGGGCGTAGCAGCTGACTTCCGTGTCTGGGGTTCTCTGGCTCACGTTTGCGCCCCTGGCGCAAACAAGTTGTCTCCGCGCACTCGTGCCTGCGTCTTCCTTTGCTTCGCGTTGGACGCCTCCGGCTGGGTGTTCTACGACCCAGTCACCTACCAGTTCTTCGCTTCTCAGGACGTCACGTTCGACGAGTCGGTCTGTTACTACGGGCATTGCCCCCACCAAGGTACTGAGGTCTTTTCCCCCCCGCTGTTCCTCACCCTTGAGCCCCCACCGGTCGCCCTGGTAGCCCCCCCCCCCCCTCGCGTCCTGCCCCGTCAGGTGTGTCGCACGTCACTCCGCAGTCTTCCCCCCCGCAGCGTCCAGTCCTTGTCGTGTCTGGGGGTGCGGGAGGTGCACTTCGGAGGGTGAGGGTACTGGGGCTGCAGGAGCTGGTGGTGTCGGCTCTGGGGGTGCAGGGGTTGTGGGCGTGGAGGTCACTCCTGTAGAGGACACGACAGCCTCGACTCGGCGGCCTCGCCCCGCCTCACCCTCTGGCTTCCCGTCCGTCCTGCAGTTTCCTCCTCATTCTTCTCGGTCGGGGAGCTCAGCCGCGTCGGGGAACTCTGCGCGAAAGGCGTCGGTAAGGCGGTAGAAGCTGCGGTGCTGAGTGTGAGACCTCCCGCATGTCTGACCAGTGCGGTCACCTGTGCGAATGACATACGGGCAGGGACCATTACCCCCAGCCGCCCCACGCTGAGCAAACCACTCATGGAGCTCCTGAGACGAAAGGGGCTGACGCTGCTGCTGCCGCTGGCCACCTCCAAGGCCTCCCCTCTGGCTGGTGCCACCCCTGCCGCCCCCACTGCCACCGCCTCCACCCCCACTACCGCCACTACCGCCGCCACCACCGCTGCCGCCACCACTCCCACTGCCGCCACCACCGCCGCCACCTGCCCCGTCGCCCCCACCACCACTACCTCCTCCACCGCCGCCCCCTCCACCGCCTCCACCGCCCCCACCACCGCCTCCACCTCTGCCACCCCCACCACTCTGGCCTCCCCTGCCCCTGCCGCCGCGGCGCCTCCCACTAGGGGCAGACGCAGCTCCCACCTTCTCGGCACGAAGGTAGTCAACAGCTGCAGAGGCGACTGAGGGGAGAAGGGGGGAGGGCGAACACCCCTCAAAGAAGGGGGTGCGAGGAGTGCCACGAGAAGCGCCTACAGCGACTATGCTAGTCTCAGCTGCTGGAGGTGCTTCTCGAGCAGGTCGACAGTGAGGTCGGTGGGGTCAAGTGCTAGGAGGAGGTCTCTGACTGCAGTAAGAGAGTCAGGGAGGCGGGTGACTATGAAGTAGAGCGTGATGTACATGGAGGGGGGGGGGGGGGGGGGGGGGGGGGGGGTTCTTGGCGAGAAACTCGGCGGGGAGCGCAGCACGGTAGCGAGTGTCACTAGTGCGGAGGTGAGTGACTAGGTCGGCTACTGTATCAAAGGCGGACAGGTCTGGGAACAGGTAGGGCAGGAGAAGGCGGCCAAGAGTAGCAGTGGCCGGGGAGGAGTAACGAGTGACTACAGTGTCGTACAGTGCTTTTGTTGTCTTATGTTGGCCAAAGTGGGCGCGTTCGGCTAACGGCAGGTGGTTGCGAACGGCTAGGCGAGCAGTAGCGTCACGGGTAAGCCACTGTGAGCGGGTCGCACTGTCAGCTGTGGCGTCAGGGGCGGGCGAGGCGCCAGAAGTGAGGTCAAACAGTGAAGTACCGTCCTTAGAGTCTGTTAGCAGGAATAGCTGTAAGTCGTCTAGCCATGCATTGAACTCTATCAGGCGGCCCTCCGAATCGAACGTGAGAACGTTGAGAGTGGCCATAGCAGGCAGAGCAGTCGGGCGCGCTAGCAGCAGAGTAGCACGCTAGTAGCAGTACAGCAGTAGGGCAGGGTGCGAACGGCAGGGTAGGGCGCACGGCAGGGCAGGGCGCGGCGCTCAGGTAGGGCGCACGGGCAAGGCAGGGCGCGTGGCGGCGCGGCGCATGGGCAGGGCAGGGCGCGCGGGCAGGGTAGAGGTGCGCGGCAGCGCGACGCAGAGGCAGGGCAGAGGCGCGCAGAAGCGCGGCGTGTAGGCAGGGCAGGGCGCGCGGCAGCGCGGCGCGCGGGCAGGGCAAGGCACGCGGCGCGGCGCGCGAGCAGGGCAGGGTGCGCGGCGTGGCGCGCGAGCAAGGCAGAGGCGCGCAGCAGCGCGGCGCGCAGGCAGAGCAGGACGCGCGGCAGCGCGGCGCGCGGGGAGGGCAGGGTGCGCGGTGGCGCGGTGCGCGGGCGCGGTCAGGGCGCGCGACGCGACGCGCGGGCAAGGCGACGCGGCGGGCAGGGCGACGCGGCGACGCGACGCGCGGGCAGGGCAGGGCGCGCTGCAGCAGGCGGCGCGCGACTCAGCAGGGCGCGCTGCAGCAGACGGCGTGCAGGCAAAGCAGTGTGCGCTGCAGCAGGCAGCGCATGGCAGGGTAGGGCAGGGTAGGGCAGGGCAACGCGATCATAGTGGCGCGACGGGTGGGGTAGCGCTACTCGGTGGGCCCTAAGAAATCGGTCCTAGGCTAGGACCTGCTCTGAAACCATGCCACAATAACGAACAGGAGTGGATGAACTAGCAGCAGGATGGGTACAAGTAGCAAACCCTAATTTGGGTTTTACCCCATATGGGCTACCCCACTACAGCCTATATAATAAGCAGCATATATGTTTGACACGCCTCCCAAGTACTCAGCTTCTAGCCCTTTCGACCCAACCAGAGGCCAATCCCAATGTCCTTTCCACATCTTTATGGTCCCCATTCACATGCAAACGATTGATTGCCCATGATAGATGAAAATTGTTTGTTTGGGTAAACATGTATGATCGTGTTAAGTCGATCAGCTGATCGTGGTCAGCTGATTGCCCCCGATTGCATGAAATTGGATTTCAAGCTTCCTGGAAGTTTATGGTCGCCTCTGATTGAGGAGATCAGACCCGATTGGACCCACATCATAAGAACGTGTTACAGTTCGCCTCTGATCTACTGTAATTTGGTCGGGGCTTATCTGATCGGGTTGCCTCTGGTTGCATTGCTTGTGCCGCTCGATCAGGTAATTTATTACTCGAACATTCATTGAGGATGCATGGCAAGCATGCCACCATTTCTTGGCCCTTTCGGGCCCACTTGGGCGAGGGCGAATGCTTCACGATGGACCTAACGATTTTACTGTTTCCCTATTACTTTGCATAAACAAGCGCGTCCAGAAAGTTCTTGCCAAGGTGGTTGGTTGTGCGAAGGCTTCACGAAACCCAGCACAACACCACAACTTTTCGCAAGCGTCGCTTGGTACCCCAAACCAATCCAGTCAACTGATCGTCGATAATTGTGTGAGGTTGTGTTTGGTTGGGCGGTTTTAGGCGGTTGATCGAGTTGGGGCGATCAACTGATAGCGATCAAATTATTTCCCCCGATTTTCCGAAATCGCCACCCTAGCTTCCCAAGAGTTATTGATCGACTCTGATCGGCCAATCAGAGGCGAACCGTAACACGTCCTAAGTGACGTGAGCTTGTTCCATTTGGTCATAGTTGCAAGGGGGAGCAGGTGGTTCGACTCCAGGGTTGAGATAGTCCAACCTGTGTTCCACAGGTTCTTGCAATGCAGACTCGGACTGTATTCTGTTCTTGCAATGCAGACTCGGACTGTGTTCTGTGTTGAAGAATCGAGTTTCTGCCGCCCCAGCCCTTTGCACACAAGCAGCAGCAAGGGGGAATGTTGGCGATGAATCAAAGGCTTCGAGAAGTACTTCGAAAGTTCCGCCACCAATCAGATTTCAGCCGAAGACTCGATATAGTTCAAAGCTGCCTTCAAACCGAAGTGTTGGCAGTTTCTACAGGTTTCTACACATCAGAATCAGCTATAACAGAAATATCCAGAGTTTTCTTATTCATGCACCTCATGTGCCACTCAAAGTCACTCAAGGTCCATCCAATCTAGATTGTGCCCAACTTACCAGGGAAGTTACATTGTCTATCAGCCTAGTTTGAGCTTTCAATCTGTCTTGTTTGTGATGCCTATAGAGTTGTGCTTTAGTGGGCTTGTTAATCTTGAACATAGTGAAGTTTTACCTCATCCAGTCAATTCCAGTAGCCCTGCTAAGACTTTCCAGCCAAGTTTCCAGCCATACAGTAGTCACAGCTACTCTGTTTTACAAGTTGGTATCAGAGCTCGCCGTTTCGATCAACCGAGTCCACCACGTTCCTATCCTAGCATTATACAAGCATGGCGGGAGACAATCTGTCTGGTCCTGCACTTCAGTCAGCCGGAGGAGCTTCAGAGTCAACCTCAGCAGCTACAGGTTTATTGGAAGCAGTTGCACCAAGAGGTTCTTCAACAGCATACTCACCACTCACCTCCTTCATGCCTAAGCTTCACCTTCCCAAGTTCAACGGCAAAGATTTTCCAACATGGGCAACTCAGTTTGAGCTCACTGCATCCCTTCTGGATCCGTGGCCTTACTATACTTTAGAAGCAGCCAAACCAGCAGCAGATGCTTCAGAAGCTGAAAAACGACTTTACGAACGACGCAACAAGGAGGCCTTCCTCTACCTACTCAATAGCATTCACGAGCAGCAGTTGAAGTCGCTTTTGCCCTGTTCTACCAAGGCAAACAATGCAGAGGAAGCATGGGGCCGACTGAAGTCTATGCACCAGTCAAAATCCGAGAGCAGCCAAGCCGAGATGTGGAGCCGCTTCATGAATCTGAAGATGGAAGAAGATGAATCAGCACAAGCCTACCTACAACGAGCTGAAACAATGCTGGAGGAAGCAGCACCGATCGGCTTGGAGATTCTAGAGTCTCTTTTCAAGACCGTCATCCTCACCGGCCTTACACCGGAGTGGGACACTTTCCGTGCAACACTACAAGCGCTCCCGCAGTCAATGAAGAGTCGTGTGTTCATATTCGAAGCCCTTGTCAACGAGCAGCAAAGTCGAGACCTTGCACGAAATAAGCGGAGTGACGAAGGTGTGTGGAGTGCTGCAGCAGCTACAAGATATGGCAACCAATTCCAGAGGCAAGGAAATTTCACCCCAAACCGCCCTCAACCCTACTACGGTACGAAATTTCAGTCACCTTCCAACGCATACAAACCCTCTCGTTTTCCTCAGTCAAGTCCTCCCTATAAGTCCAGTCCCTATATCCAGCCAAGGCCTTCGATTCCCAATCAATACGAGCCTAGGAATGCAAGAGTCAATACGCTAAGAGTCAATCATTTCAGCCAAGCCCTGAATGCTAAAAAGTTTAATTTTGAGTGTTTTTGTTGTCATGAGTGGGGTCACCCGTGGTATGCTTGTCCTAAGAAGCCTCCTAATTGGGTCCCCCCACCTCAGCTACTATCTGAAAAAGGTAAGGCAGCCATAGCAAATATAGCAAGTCATTCTACAAGTCAAGATGAGTCCGATGGTCCTGTCCTTTTTAACGCTGCTACTTGCATGCACGTTTTCTCTACTAGTAGTGAGGAGTTTATTCTTGATAGTGGCTGCTCTGAAACCATGACTCCCTATCAGTCCATTCTCAAGGATTTTCAGCCCTCATATGAGGGCTGAAAAGTTGTGACTCTTGCTGATCTTGGCAAAGTACCTATCAAAGGAGTCGGCAAGCTTGAGTTCGAAAAGGATGGTAAGTCATTTTGTGTCAATAAAGCTTTGTTTGTTCCTGATTTGGGAGCAAACTTGCTCTCAGCCGGACAACTCGAAGAGAAAGGTGCCTCTGTTCTCTTGCAAGGGGGGAAAGCCAAAGTGTGGGACAGTGCAGGAAATCTGGTGGCTGAAGGCGAGCGTACCGGGCGGCTCTATAAGATGAAGTTGGAGATTAAGCGCAGTGCTAGCAACACGAAGAACGACGTTGTCTCGCTTCCTGATGTTTCAACCGATGAAGTCAACAACAAAGGGAGTATCTCCCAAGCTGAGGTATGGCATGCACGCTTGGGGCACGTGGGAGTGCAAGCATTGAAAGAGTTGGTAAATCACAAGAGCGTGGAAGGATTGAGTTTGAGTGAAAGTGCAGTCAAGTCCCTTTCTTCCGTTCCATGTCCATCTTGTGTGGAAGGCAAGCTAGCTAGAAAGCCATTCTTCCCTTCTAAGTCTCAGTCAAGGGACCTCCTAGAGTTGGTCCACACTGATGTCTTCGGCCCCATGCGAGACCCTACTCGAAACGGTAAGAGATATTTGGTGTCTTTCATTGATGACAAGAGTCGTTTCTCGTGGTCCTTTTTCATCAACACCAAGGATGAAGTTCACAAGTGTTTCAAGCAATGGCTAGCACTTGTTGAGAGAGAGTCAGGGAAGAAGTTACTCACCTTGAGGTCAGAC